AGAGAGCGTGTACACGCATAAGGATTCACACAAAGTACTACGGATTTCGCTTGATGGACACATCACAAACCAGATAGATGTCGTATCAATGGTGCTCAAGGAAATGGAGACGCAGCCTGGTGGATACAAATTCAGGAAGGGTAGCGGATGTGGGCTCAGATCAATATGTGGTTCAACAAACCTTCAAGCTGAAGCTTAAATCCGTGAAAACGAGTGCAGACATGCCACTGTAATTAAAGTTCAACATTCAGAAACTGAATTACAAAACTACAAGGGATGCCTTCACCGCAGATCAGATCACAGCACAGTCGGATACACTACGTGACATCACTGAGGATACCTCTGAAGGAGATGTTTAAGGAAACGTGTACAAATGTTTTAGGGAGAAAGAAGAGACAAGACAAGGAATGGCTCTCAACAAATCACTGTCAATGGACACCTACTTGGAAGCCAACAGAAGAGAGGAGGATGGTGAAAGAGAAGACTCAATCCAAGGATGCACAACGGAAGAAGGAGCAGCTGAATTCAATGTATACTGCACTGAATAACGAAAGAAGTGAAGAGGAGTGTTGGGAATGACAAAAGACAATTCTACGACACTGACCGCCAAATTAAGCATAACAGGTAGGCCACAGGCAGGAGGCAAGCCAGAACATTTTATCCGTTAATGAGGCTACTCGTTATCCGTGAAGAGATCAACCCAGATGATAAAACCAATAAAAGATGCTAAAGGGAACCTGATGAACAAAGAGGAGAAACAAATCAAACAATGGGCTGATCACCTCAAATAACTCTTGAATCGACTAGTGTGGAATCATGCTCTTGTCCACGCCAAGTAAAATACTAATTCACATCATCCGGGAGAATAAAACAGAGGCACTGGATTCAGAACTCCGCTAACCCTTAAGAAGCCGGATTCAGCAAAGGCAAATCATGTTCATATCAAATCACAACTCTACGCATCGTCATCATAGAACAAACCATAGAATGGAAGTCAAACCTCTGTCTACTTCAACTTCATCGACTTCGAAAAGGCCTTCGACAGAGAGTGTTGACCGAGAAGTAGTTTGGAAACTGCTTCATTACAACGTCATGTAGTGCCAGAGTCTTTACCAACCTCATTCAACAGCTATATGACAATGCTTACCACGTGTCTGGCGATCCACATCGGAAAACCCAGAGAAGCCTTTAAAGTTAAGACAGGAGTGAGACACGTCTGCATGTTTATTATCATCGATGATATTCTTAATTTTCGTGGACTGGATTATGCGTCAGACTTTGTACTGGGAGTGAGAAGACAGGAATCATCTGCACTGACCGATAAGAAGACTCTAGAAGATCTGGATTTCGCAGATGATTTTTTTTTGACTACAGCTTGATTCCACACTGTATTTTTGGTACAAGTATGGAATTTTCAGCGTGGATATCGGTAGCCCAAATTTTGCAGGCCAACCAAAGATATCAGTGTGCGTCGGCAAGGGCTCGAACCCGGACCACGTGCATGGTCGGCGAGAGTCCTAACCACTGTGCCACCGACGCACAGTGTCCAATGTCACACAAACTCGAAGACTTACAGACGAAAACCAACAAATTAGCTGAATAAGCAAGTAGAGAAGACAGAACTCCAGATGAATATGGAGAAGAGGGGGGTGGTGAAAATAACCAACCAACCAACAGCAACAACAACAACCAGCACCAATCGCCATCGACGGGCAAGATTTAACAGAGGTTACCTCCTTACCACTTATCCAGGAAGCATCGTTTCAAGTAGAGGGACGCCGATTGGATGAAGACATCAAAGTCAGAATTTGAAAGGCAGGTACTCCTTCATCATTTGGAAATCAGTTTGAATACCTTTGGCACTCTGTTGCATAAATAACAAGATTCGGATTTTCAACACCAATGTGAAGTCAGTTAGTGTTTGTATATGGATCAGAAGCTTGGCGTGTGACGAAAACGATCATCAACAAGTTGCAGACATTTATGAACAGCTGTCTTCGATGGCTCCATAATGAGGATCAAATGGCTTGTCAGGAAGAATAAGTTACAAAGCAGTGTGGGAACAAAACTACGAAGAGTAGGTTAATCGAAAGATATGTCGTAAAAAATGGAGATGGATAGGGCATACATTAGGGAGGCCGTCGAATGATATCGCGAGCAATGCAGGCCATCGCTCGAATGGAATCCAAATGAGAAGCGACAAGTAGGTCGTCCGAGGGTAACATGGAACAGATGGTGCGAAGAGTAGGTGAGGGATTATTGACAATCGTGGACCCGGCTGAAGAGGATAGTAGAAAATAGAACAAAATTGAGATGTGTTATTTATGCCCAATGTTCTACTCGGAACCGAAGGGAATAATAATAGCAATTTTTAGGTTGTATGTGATTGTAAAAAAACTGATGATGTTTAGTGATATCTATAAAATAAAATGATATCATCTTATTCTGCACAAACCGTTGTTTTTGCTTTATCAAATTTAATGTAGCGAAACTCGATATTTTAACTAATCAACAAGTTTTCCAATACGAAAAACTGTCAAGTGACAAAACAATTAATATCGTATTATAAGTTTCCAGACCGTAGATTTTACAAATTTCCTGGAATAATTTGAGCGCCGTGTCAAACTGAATCATTATGAATTATTTAAAACACTATCATATATAAAATAATTCATAAAATGTATCAGTGTTGGAAAGAGGGGTATCATTATAGAGTTAGTAGGCTAATATAAAACGCTACTCAACATGGTGTGAAATTTGATAAGATAGGATTCAACATTGTAAAAACGTTTTTTGGATATAGAATGACAAGTTGGACAACTGGAAACAATTCAGGGTGAGAATAGTAACAATAATATTGATGATGATAATAATAATCGTAGTAATGAGGGAAAGGCACATAGAATAACTACATAAACAAAATAAAGAAAATAGATAAATAAACGTCTATCCATCTACGGCCAAGGCAGAAGTAGGGATTGTACATGCTTCTTTTGTACACAGAGGTCTGGCTTAAATTTATGAATGGCCAAATCCTCTGCTATCTATAGTTGCTTATAACGAAGAAAACTCACCAAGCAGGGATTCGGTAGATGGTCTTAAAATCATAGTAGAGTGACAGGAGTTGATTAAGTGTTCTAGAAAAGAGCTTCGCGCACCATTCCTTTCTCCTGCTTTCTAACTTGATGCCAAGTATGTAAAAATGTTCCTTTACTTCTTATAAGAGAAAGGGAAGTGATTAAATTTGATGGTGCTCTTTTGACAAGATTTCGGGATTCAATTTCGATTGAATTTCTTTTTGTAGCCATGGTTATTAACTAATGACAGATATAATCACTTTTGACTCAAAAACAGGTTCGACCTGAAACAATCTTACAAACAGTTTTTAAGATTCATAATTACTCATCTTTCTTTAAAATTTACACAACCTTTGAGTCACACTCTTTGGTCAGATTTCAGATTATTAAACAATTCATAATAATCGAGCATGTTTATAGCTCTGGATTAAAAATGACAATCGCGTTGTGTTCTCTAAGCCTTGATATTTGACGCTGAATATCTAAATGCCAGGGCAAGTTGTCTTTTAATCATTTGATTCCTTATATAGCTGGTAAATAGCTGTAACCTTAGTGTTACTTAGATGTACTGTCAAAGCAAATAAATCTCCCCTTAATGTAACATGATTATGTTTATATATATTACTACATAATGAAAGGTTGTGGTTCTGATGGTCTTGACTATTTTACTGATGAAACTGTTTACAACACCTCACTCTGCTGTCCAGGGTCAACTAGTAAATATTTTATAACACGACGGATAAAGACTATATTCATGTAAGCCATGAAGTTTGAAGTGCGGTCTTATACAGCTTAAGTTTATCTTTTTTGTGATATATGCTCGCGGACCTACTTGGATTGCTTAAAGCTGATAAGAAGCCTGTTAAATTATATGCAACACTGGCATTTTATTCCTCTATATTACTGTTGTAGTTAATACACATTTCATACATTTGGTTCCCTTGATAAATTTCGACAGAGAAAGAAAGACCAGATTTGTAGTATAAAATTATATCATTCTATTTCACAGGTTCTCATCATCTGCAAACTACATGAAATTACAATGGTTGTTAATAATGACATTTCATACTTCAATGTTTGAAAGCCAATAGACAAAACATTCTAAGATGAAAGCATCCGGAGTATAAGTACTACAATTCCTATGAAACGATTGCAATCAAACCTCTCAGACCTAACTTATGCACACAGAAAGAGAGTGTAGTCAATCTCTCACTCCCTTGGTAACCGTATTACTTTCATTACACTGATTAGTCATATACACTAGTGAGCTCAACTCACTAAACAAGTTTTCAGTTTGATGAACTTTAACCTTTTTGAGTTGACATGTAGATGTACAATCTAACACTGTTTATTAGACTTTTCTGTTTTCTCTCAACCCCTTTTTTTCTCATAGTTTGATAACATATGAATCGATGGTAATTTAAACTAGAAATTGTAATACTTATACTCCGGATGCGTTCATTATGTAATGTTTTCTCTATTACCTTTCAAACATTGAAGTATGAAATGTCATTATTTATAACCATTTTAATTTCAGGTAAGGGTGTGCAGCTGATGAGAACCTGTGAGATAGAATGATGACATCATTTTACACTGCAAATCTGGTCTTTCTTTCTCTATCGTTATGCATATTTAGTTGTTGCTTCTTTACCAGAAATAAAAATACAACAAGCAGCCGAAAACTATTATATTTTTCATTAAAAAAAATACGTCCTTTTATATTAAAATAATTCTATTTGTCATCTGTGCAATGAATAAACGAAAACGTTATGTTTATGATTTTATTCAAATATGATATCGCTTATAATGACACTGATAGTTAATTCTCAAAAAATAAATCTTTGAATCAGTAGATGTATGGTGTATTATTGACCAGCTCTTTTCCATTTGAAAAGAAATGTCTTCATAGACCGTGATTTCCTTTCATTTGACACCACCGTTTGCCTGGATTTGTTTCAAGCCTCTCGGAAGTGTTCTGTTATTAAGGGGTTAACACAAAAAAGATCTAGGTGTTAAAAGAACTTCAGAAACATCCCAATAAATAGTATGCCTGACCCAAATTAGCAGATGTCTCTTCTCTGTATCTCTTAATTCTACACTAATCAGCAAAGAATCCTAAATAAACAAATTATTCTGAGGAATTCAGTGGTTTTTATACTGAGATGTCTTCATGTTAATAGAATCACATGTTTGATTTTCAGTGGTGAAGTGTTAAATATTTCAGATAATTTTGCTGGCGTCAACCTAATTTTCTAGGGAAGAGAGTAGTGCAATATTCAAGGTCATGGATGCGTTATCTTGTCTACTGGTTGTTCTTTTTCATCCACTAGTTTTCCGCTGAAATTGACATTTCTTTTTGACGTTTCTCATGTTTTAATCTGGTTAAATCAATTTTTGTGTCTGGAAGTAGCTGTTCAAACGGCTTGCACAGCTTTGTCATAATTACTATTTGAGTCATATAATAATTAAATACGTTAGATATTACTGTTGTCTAACAGTCTATTATAAACTACAATGTTTTATTAGTGCTTCAGACGTATGAAGAATTCCAAAATCACACAAATGCTGCAATAACTCCTTGGTATGGAAACAATGTTGCAAACCCTTAAAATAACACGAGTTCCGGATGATACCAACCAAATGTACTATTTCAGCATCATGTTCATATACAAGGGTTTATGTTTGCTGAATTTTAAGCTTGAAAGCCTGCTAAAATGTTTATAGTATTTTCACTGATATATTCATAAACACTGTTTTTTATTTTACAGACTAGGCCTGAAGACATCTTAGTTGGATAGTATCAAAATTATTTCCACTGTCAAATACATAGTTGTCAATAGAGACCACTTGTTTCTACGATTCTCATGGTTCATGTTGCAATTCAATTTGTAACATTCATATGCTTGTAAGGGTTTATGTTGATGCTCTAGTTAACCGTTATTAAGTCATACAGTCTGACGACCGCGTGAGACTTATCAAATTGCGAACAAAGTAGCACAATGAGCAGTGCATATGAGTAAGTAGTCAGTACAATAAAACTAAACTTCTTATTATGCTAAAACAATTATAATTACAGTCCAGTGAGTTCTCTAAGCGGTTGTACAGAAGTAGTGACAGATCTTAAGTCACGTTCATTCAGAACAGCTACGATAGACAAACGTGGAACAAATACTATGCATATCACATTCTCCGTTGACTGCCCATCTTCAGTAAACATTTAATCCAGGTCTTCCCTAAAAGTTTCATTTCTAGGAATACGATTTGAAATGAAATAGTGCTATGTGTTGAATGACTTAGCGAAATGTCTTATACTGTCAAACGTTTCTAAGTCATTTAACACAGCATTATGAGTGGGCTAGAATTTTGACATATTTATTCGATTGAAGGTAAACGACATGTTGCTAGGCTATTCAGACAAATTAGAATAAATGTATCCAAATACTGGTTCACTCATTATCCTATATATTTTGAATAACGTAGCGACATGCCGTTCACTTTCAGTCCATTCTAATGTATCTGAATAGCCTAGCAACGTGTCGTGTACCTTGAGTCTGAATTTACTTAACCATATGAAAATTAAACTGACAACCAAATTTGGCACACCACTGGAAAAGTAGGCCAATAGGACTGAAGCCAGACAAAAGCAACTGAAAACTGTCTGTAGCCATTTGCGCAACACGCATACTCACTTACATACAGCATCATTCATACTTTAACAGTTTTACAGTGATAAGTTGACAATGTCAATATAAATCAATGGTGACTAATCACATGTAATCAGTATTTGAAAATATTCAGCTCTAAGTGACCTTCAAACGACACTATTTTTTGGGGCTTAATGAAATCGGATAATTCTGCTGCATCTTGTTTAATTTTTTAAATAGACTGGCGTCATTTTAAATTTTTTCATAAAAATTTCAACATATCTGAAATAGCAGAGTTTCACGTTATTAACATCTAATTATTCACTTATCAGTCAATTATTATTATTAACATTTTTATGCGCTATGAGTTTTTACTAATATACTTTGTGCACACATCTGAACGATACACGAGTTTATGATATGCGATCAAAAATTATCCAGGTTGATAAAGGACATACCAGTCAAGTTTAAGTGATTTCATTTAAGCTAAGCTATGCCATAAATATCGAGACAAAAATAGTGTTATTCACTGCTAAGTCAACAAAAGTAAAACGGTCATCTTCCAATCTTTCTTCTTTCATACATTTCTAAACTAAAACCTTAGTCCTAATTTATGATGGCTTATTTTGTACAGACTGACTGTTGAAATAACTAAGTAAGGTTAAGTTCACTTGGAGTGAAAGTACATACATAGCAAAAAACAAAAAATAAAAAACACAACTTGCTCATTTACATTGCAAAGATCATAGTGCATAATACCATTGTTGCACACACGAAGAAAACGGTGCCAGGGAAAATCGTTACTGTCGCTCCATATATTAGTGGAAACAAAGTCAAACTAATTAGGTATCCCACACGTGAAATAAATGCCGAAAGTGATAAGACAAATCCTGTTGTAAAGTAAACAAACAAGTCAATTTATATCTAAATGTTGTATACAATTTAATTCATGTTTTGAGGAGTTAAAGAGAAACTTTCATTTGGTTATCGCCTAGTTTTCATTCTTTCAGATTTGAAGGTAGCAAGTATTCATAGAATGAAATAACAGATTTATTTTTACATTATTGAATTCTATCTTATCAAATTTCACACCATGTTATGTAACATTTTATATTAGCCTACTAATCCTATAATTATGCAACCCTTTCCAACATCTATACACCTTATGAATTATTCTATATATGACATTAATTTGCTGTGCCACTTGACATTTAACTGTGATTATAATCACAAACATTTTAATTGCGTTTCATAGTGTTATTATTTTATGCGTTCACACTTTGATCTAATTCCCTGACTGGATATAATTTCTTAAAAACCATATATATGTGATTGTACAGCTTGATAATAAATTCGTTGAAAAGATTCTCTTCGCTGAATGTTGTGTTCTTAATGCTACAATGGGAATTATTAAATTATTGAAGTAATAGATTTGACAATTTTCAGTGTGCAGTTTTCAAGGTGTCTTGAAATGTCTCGATAGCAAACAAAAGTTTGAAAATGAGATTTGATTCCTATTTGATTATGAAGCATATTTTGTTTGTTGATGAGTGGTTTCAATGCGAGAAATCGTATACTCACATCTACTCATCAACTTCGTCATTTTCTTCAAGCAAAAAGCTTGGAACAGTTTTGATAAGTTATCATTATACTAATAACAGAACGGTAACTAATAAAACATTGATCTCTTCTCAGTACTTACCAAAATCTGTTCACGCTTAGAGATATCAGTGAAGCATGTACACAATACGTTCAATCTTTTATGACAGTGCACATTGTCTACAGAATAAATCTTTATCAGCTTTTTTAATCATTTCGGATATTTAATGCAAATATCTTTCTCATTACTATGAAAGAAGGTGCGTCGGTGGCACAGAGGTAGAATGCTTGCCGACCACGTATGTGGTTCGGGGTTCACTATCCGGTCGACGCACTTCTAAACCCCGCTAAATAGTAATAAGACCGGTAAAGGGTGAAGGTTGGGCATAAGACTGCAATCTCATACAGTAGAAATAAAAACCACTGTTACCGAAACTTCAAGCCTTTAGTTTAAGGCCCTATGTTCCATTGAGAACGTAAAGGAATAAAATATAAAATAATACTATGAAAAAAGTATACAAACAAAACGGAATTTTTCTAAAGCTGAGACTGATAGGAACTTCAAAAACTTCTTTTACAAATCCAAAATGTTTTGGTGCTTCATCAGTACGAGTTAAGGAATTAAAACATTCAGAAATTGTCCACCTCACACAATTTTAGCGACGTCTAACCACAAGTAACTCCAATTCACTTAATCTAACTTAAGCCACTCCTTCGTAGGCCAATACTTTTCAATTTATTTCAATTTATTATTACAAATGAGCCATATATATATATGTATATATATAAATTTATTTAGATACAAATAGAACGTTTCATGTTTGCTGAATTACCTTGTTTTCCTTTTGACGTAACCAATGAAATTATAGCTCGAATTTGCGGGATCAGCGCATTTTTCACCAATCTTAAAGCAGAAGCTGACAAAAGAAAAGGAAAACAGAGAAAGACCAAATAGCCAACTTTTTAGTTTATAGTTAACCTAAGTGTAAAACAAATGATCAATTAAATATGCAATACACTGAGTGATCAGCTAAGATTTTCTATTATTTGAGAATAAAATTCGTGTATGGATACGTCTTCATTTCTAATCCGAACTTTATGTTTTTTTATGTCAAGAAATTACAGTAAACTGATGGTATTAAGCACCACTGATACCTACGAAAGTGAATCATCAAGATTTTTCCCAATAACAAACATACTTTAAATTCATATGAAACCAGATTCAGTTTTGATTTCCCCGTTGATTGATTGGACCGAAGTGTTCGGTCTCTGCTGACATGCCGGCTCTTTTCGTGGATGCTTTGACGATGTCTCAGGATCAACTTGAAGTAATTTGGTGGATGGTGATTAGCAGTGGAATACAGGATGCTCATTTCATCCAAACCAGACTACTCGGTCCATGAGAGTCTAGTGGATAACGCTTTGGCGTTGGAAACCATAGGTGCTAGGTTCGAACTTCAGCCGAAACATCATCGCTCACTGGGGAAGGCAAGTACATCCCAATAATAAGTCTCAGTGCAAGATGAAATGCGCATGCTGGAATCCACCAAGGTTTTTCAGAAACAGCATTTATTTGACAAAAATTGACTTCAAGAAAGTTGTTTAAACTCACCTCCATAAATAATATGGTTAGCAGTTGGCAGAGCAAACATGAAGGCGACACCCATCATTATTTTATTGACGAACATAAAACTCAATCCTGCAAATATAATACTTGTAATTATGAACAGTATTCGAATTTCCGATGTTGTCAGATGTACATCCTCATCTTCGACTATTTCTATGGTTTTATCTTTGTTACTTGGCTCCACTTCACGATTATGCTCCCAGTTAAATATTAAGATAGTGAAAGCGATTGATAAACATGAAGACAAAGCATCAGATACACCACTAAAAAAGTAAATAAGTGAAAAATCTTTTCACTGATTTAGTAAGGCTTTAGTACGCATATTGGAATAAAAATTAATTTAATTTCACTTTGATTTTGGTAGAATAGTTAAGCTATTCAGCTTGCCTATGTGAATGAAAGTTCCAGAGGAATCAAGTCTATTGTCAGTTTGCATAGGTTATTCGCTTAACCCTATTATCAGTCATGTCCAATCTTTATCTTGAAGTTCTGTTGTATACATCTCTGAGAGAGCATGTATTTTTCCCCTGTGTCACAGTATGTGAAATCATGTACTCAGAACAGAAGAGGGATGATCTTTAATAAAACTAGTGAATTCACTTATTTCAGTCTTAATGAATGTACTCTTTGCCGTAAAAGTATAAAACTTTCTTGTAAATTGCTGAATGTTTTGACTGAAGTAATAATTTAACGTAAAACGTTAACCCCGTTCTACGGTATTTGCTTGAGTGATTTTTGAACGAAACTTCTTACCTAGTCAGCGTTTATTAATGTTTTCAGCTTGATTGAAAGTCATTTCCGAAAAAAAGCACAAACTAACTTCCATTGGCAGATATGAAGAATCAAGTAATGAACTGTACAATCGGTCAGTAGTGAAGCCAAAAAACTCTAAAAACCTCTTTTTCTACAAAACGTGTGGTCTTTTATCAAAGTGTTTAAACCCATTAACTTTTTTGAGACTGTCAGTTTGATTGTGATATAGGATTTTAGTTTTTCCGAATGAATGAAAAACAAAACAATATTGTTTTTACCAACGTTTCGCCACTTAACTCTAGTAGCTTTATCAAAGTATTATTGCACCAGAATTTACACAACATTACCTTATATATATAAAATGAAGGGTATAAAATGTGACGAATAATGATAATTGTAATAACAAACAAAGAGAGAAAAAAACCAAGAGGATTGAGGGGAAGAAGCACTCTTGGTGAGAATTCAAACAAAAAAATATCCACCAACTGAATCATTACTTTACTCCCATTTTTCATCCAAATCACTCTTTCAGGTTCATGTGTGAGTATCATATAAACCGACAATGAATTTCTAATCGTCTATCAAAGAAACATATAGGATGATACCTGGATAACATTCAAGATCTGAAGAGAAAATCCAGGATGTGAAAGCAACGAAATTCTTAGGAAAAAAACATTATGCTTCTCAAAGGTGTTTATGGTGAACATTTAATGCTACGCTATTCATAACAACACTTGCAAAGAATTACCTTGTGACTAGGACAGTGTTCTATATTAACACTCATGTTTTAATTATTTTATTTGGATACTAAATTTTGGTTAGATCAAACTCCTGACGAGTTCTTCGAAATACTGTACAATTGGTGGATGGTGGCTAGCAGTGGAATCCAGGATGCGCATTTCGTCCTATTTGGGACTCGTCAGCTGGATGTACCTGCATTTCTCAGTGAGTGATGACGTTCCCACCGAAGCTCGAACCCAGTACCCATAGTTTCAAACGCCAAAGCGTTATCCACTAGACCACTTGGGCCACGAGAGCCACCTCTTGTGCAACGGGTCATATTAATTATTGAATTGAATTTTTGATTTTCCCGTCGATTGTTTTGGACCGAAGTGCTCGGTCTCAGGTTGACATGTCGGCTTCTTGTGCAGATGCTCCGACGATGTCTGGGCATTTAATTAGTATACAATTGGTGGATGGTGGCTAGCAGTGGAATCCAGGAAAATCAAAAATTCAATTCAATAATTAATATGACCCGTTGCACAAGAGGTGGCTCTCGTGGCCCAAGTGGTCTAGTGGATAACGCTTTGGCGTTTGAAACTATGGGTACTGGGTTCGAGCTTCGGTGGGAACGTCATCACTCACTGAGAAATGCAGGTACATCCAGCTGACGAGTCCCAAATAGGACGAAATGCGCATCCTGGATTCCACTGCTAGCCACCATCCACCAATTGTATACTAATTAAATGCCCAGACATCGTCGAAGCATCTGCACAAGAAGCCGACATGTCAACCTGAGACCGAGCACTTCGGTCCAAAACAATCGATGGGAAAATCAAAAATTCAATTCAATTCTTCGAAATATTCTCTACAGAGGTAAATTTATTCTACTGTTTACTGGAAACTCTGGCTTTTTAAACTTACGCGTATAAGCCAACAGTCTGAGCATTCCAATAAAATGGTGGACCCATTAAATAAATATGTATGTACTGTAAGTCCACCATGATGGTTACAGATACTGCAAAAAATAATCCCATGGCTACTTTCAATACGGGACTGGAGGTATCTACAGCCTAGAAATCACAAAATAAAACCAACAAACGTTTTGTTATTAACTCATTTTGTTGAGAAATGGGGAGATATCCAGCTAAACCGTTTCTGCTACTTTCATAATCTGAGGAAAAAACTCTAATGTGTCGAACAAAGTAGTTTAGAGTGTGTTTTAGAAAAAGATGAAAAGTCGAATTATTGGTCAATGAATGCACAACTTCTCTCTGGCAGAATGATTTTGAAATTGCAAAAATATTTTGAATAAAATATCAAAATCCTAAATGTCTTACTTATTCTCTAGTCAACCATTCCCTTTCCTGTTTACGCTGTTGTCTTTCTGTGTCTCCTTCAATTATGAGATGATTTACCAAGATGTGCCAACTTACACTTGAGTTGAAAGTTCTACATCCACGTTTTCGAATGCATCGAATAACATCGTTCAGTTGGGGATATTTATAATTTCATCTATGAAAGCATTTGTTGCAGTGCTTCGTTATATTTACCAAATATGCTCAACTAAATATAGTGCTTTCAAGTAAATGGGACATCGTCAGTTCAGTAACAAAAAAGATACTGACATATAAGTGAATGTATTTCGTTTGAATAGGTATACATACTTAAAATTAGGCATTAAACTTTACTAAAACTGTAATTTGGTTGAATATATTAGTGAATGTTTACTGTTTCCTAAGAACATGTTCACAATTAACTTTCAAGTGTTACTAGTTTTCTCTCCTTTCCGCTAAACGTTCGTATGAGGACATGGAAAAAATTACTGTTAGTCAAAACCCTTATTTTGACTTAACTTTCTGTCATTCGAGCACTGGCTACCGACAACATGCATTAAAAACACCCCATCATTTAAATTGTGTGCGAGTAGTGCTAGATATGTCAAAAAAAACACGTACTTTTAATTCCCTTTGACATCAAGGAAAAGAAATGCATCCTTATAAAAGAATTCAGTGATAATCACCATGCCACTACACTATTTACTTTAGGTGACTGATTGAAAAAAGTATAACGGAAACAAACTGAGAGTCTGTTACATTCATAACTTTGTTGGTAAAATTAAGGAATTCATTCAGTAAGGCATGCCTTTGTGGGAGAAGTCAATCACTCCAAAGCTTAGCTTAGAAGTGTCCTTGAATTTCTTTTGGTAAGTACAGGGCTGGAGAATGAAGTACTGATATTATATTCGCCGTAATTTCATACGAAATTCATATCTTCTTCATGGTTAACAGATTCATATGCTGTATGCGTCCAGTGGTTTGTATTACAGTTGTGATTTTAAGCTAATTTCTTGTTTCTTAAAACTAAATAATCAATAATACTAGTGGGAAAGGTCAAGAAGTTTGAGGATAAGTAATGATGATCGGTAAGAGAGTATTCAGTTTTGAAAAAAATAATAAATAATTTCCTTGCAGCCTATCTACTCTACATGGTTATAATAAAATGTGATGACGACCAATGTAACTGATAACCAAGCACAGTACTTAAAAATCTTGTTTGTTATTTTGAATATTAAGTAACCAGTCTAGCTGACTGCATCTTCATACCTAGTGTTTTTTGTTTCCTTCACGTTCTCCAGTGGAACATAGGGCCTCAAGCTAGTGGCTTGAAGTTTCTGTAGCAGTGTTTAATTTTACAGGATGGGGTTGCTAGCCTCATGGCCAACCTTCCCTCTTTACCAGCATTATTTCTGGCTCAGCGAAGTAAAGGAGTTCGTCGGCCGGTGATCGGACCCCGGACCATGTGCATGGTCGGCGAGCATGCTAACCACTGTGCCACCGACGCACAAAGGAATCTGTGTAGCACTAAAAATTACGTGACTGGTTACCTGAAGCATTCCTGAAAATTTCTCCTTAATCTTTGTAATCAAATCATCCATTTCAAAATCAATAGAACGTTGATCATCGTCAATGTCCATAACGGAGTCTTCTTTATTGTCAACATTACTCTGTATCGATGCCAATTTTCTACGTACTACATCCGGATGAGTTTCTGGATGAAATGAAACACCAACTGCTGACGCGATAAATAATATAATGCATATAATAATAGCTACATTGAAACCCAATCGATGCACTAATAGACCTGTAAAGCAAGTTAAATATTTGCATCAGACATGTTAAATGCTTCAACAAGATAGACATTTTGGAAGTGGTTACAAAATTAAAGTAGCTTATTGATTTATTATCAAAACATTATTGCTAATGAAGCATAAAAATTTACAATGTAAATAAAGTTTTCGAAAGTGGAACTTCAAATACGCAAGTACGCAAGTGTGATGAAGTGCTTTCGCAAACCATTGTCCAGTTTCATAGAAATTTAATTTATGCTTACATACAGACGATCGCCTAAACATGATTTTACTTATTTGGATCTTTTTCATTTCAAACAACCTGTTGTGCAGTATCAGTGAATTACACCATCTATAAAGATAGTCGTTCTAGAGACACTGTGTAGAGAAAAAAAATTTATTCTCTCTTTTTCTCCCTCCATCTAAGACTTCATACACATAAGCAGATGAAGGATTTCACACAAGAGACTATTCTATATGTTCTTTGTTCCTCAAAGAAGCGAATTTCCAGTGATTACTGATGTTCTTTGTTTTATTCTGTAAAATGACAGCTATCCTTGAATGTCTACTTTATTGATCAGACCAACTTACTATTAAAAGAAGTCTTACTTAGTTTGTACAAAAAATTTTGTATTTCTCTATGAATGTAAATGAAACGATACTGCTTTAAGGAATTTTTCGTCATTTAGTGCTAGTAGCTTCAGTGAAGTGATATTAAAGAAAAAAGTTATAGCATCACCTTATGTACATTAACTTAATCATAGGTCTTTTGCAAAATAGGCAATTTTTACATTATCAGGTGGATGAACTGGTAAAGATAATAAAACATGTGCATGTTGTTGGATTAAGTTTATAAACTATAAAAATAGTAAACGTTTTCATTGTGAAAATAGTTATAGCATTTGGGTGGGCTTTGTGAATTCATAGGGAGGGGGTGTTGCATCGAGCTGAAATTCTGTCCTAATCCGTGATTCCTATTCAAACAACTTGGACTCCACTTAACGGAAACTGACGTTGTTTGTGATATCTGATATATTAGAACAAGACATATAAGCGAACAATATTGTTTTCAATTAGATCTTCTTCAGGCTTTACTCTAATTTACATAGACCAGTTAACCAACACGCTTAAGGAACTGAGAAAAAGCGGAATAATCTCAGAGGCAGCCTATAACCGTCTTAAACCTACTGGAAGTAATACTTCACGTCTGTACGGTCTGCCCAAAATACATAAACCAGGACTTCCTCTTCGTCCAGTCCTGGATATGTCAAACTCTACCTACCATGGAGTGGCAAAGTGGCTAGGTGAACTCCTCCAACCATTACACAAGATGGTAGTAAATCATAGTGTTAAAGATGTTTTTGAATTTATTGCTAACGTGGATGATATTAATGTAAATGGAAAGCAAATGCTTTCCCTCGATGTAGCATCACTGTTTACCAATGTACCACTTATGGAGACTGTGGAATTCATATGCCAACAGATACTAGAAAAACAGATCGACATCGGAATACCGGTTAGTAGTCTGAAAGAGTTGCTTTTAAGATGTACTATGAATGTACATTTCATATTTAACAACCTTTACTACAGGCAAATCGACGGTATTGCCATGGGTTCTCCGTTGGGGCCAATTTTAGCAGATTTCTTTCTTGCCAAGATTGAAAATGGTCCATTGAAAAAAGTAATAGAAAAAGCTGATTCTTATTTTCGTTATGTTGATGATACCTTTATTATTCTTGATGTGAAAGCTGACAAGAATGAAATGTTAAAAAAGTTTAACGATGCACATCCATCGCTTATCTTCACTTGTGAAGAAGAATATGATGGTGGACTACATTTTCTTGACGTCCAATTGAGCAGAAGAGAGGATGGTTCACTAAAGAGAGATGTCTATAGAAAACCTACATCTGTAGGACAATATACACATTTCCTCAGTTATGTACCAATCCGTTACAAAATCAATTTGGTCAGATGCCTGACGAATAGAGCAAGACGCATCTGTACAGATGACTCTCTAGAGAATGAGCTAGGATACATCCAAAATACGTTAGTCCAAATGGGTTATCCTAGTAGATTTGTCAGGAGACACATGAATGCTAAGTACAATAAAGAGAAACCGATAACAGTTAAAAAGAAACAACTGTTCATCAAACTGCAATTTAATGGGGACGTGGCTAGTGAAGTCTTACATCAGAGATTATCGAGAGCGATAAAACGGACTTATACTGCCGCCACCCTCTGTTTGTCATTTTCCAGCCGGCCAATTTTGATTGCTCAAGTGAAAGATAAGTTACCTAGTTGTGCCACTTCCATGTGTATCTATAAATTTAGTTGCTCCTGTGGAGAAAGCTATATAGGCCGAACAACTAGACAGCTTAACAAACGCATTAATGAGCATCTTCCTTCATGGTTCGGAAAAGGTCAAATAAAGTCCATACGAAGTTCTATTTTGGCTCATTTGATTGATAGTGGTCACCAAGTGGACAAAAATAGTGCTTTCAAAGTTATTTACCGCATTCCATCAAGTCTTTCGAACGGAATCAGAACCCGTCTTTTACACTTAGCCGAAGCTATGGGAATTCGAGAGAACAATCCTAGTCTTTGTATACAAAAGAAATTTGTTCTACCTTTGTCTCTCCCTTGGCCTAGGTGAATTCTATTCAAAACCCTCCCACCCTTTCTTATCATCCCTCTCCTTCGTACTTTTATGATATTTATTTAAACTCTGATTATCGTTCCATTTGATTTGACCTAATTTATTTATTTATTGAATTGTCTACATATATGCATATACTAACTTTGTTATTCTTATCACCTATATAAGCCTTATTAACAATATTTTGTTATTATTATAATCATCGTTATTAACTTCGTTCAAAACATTTACCACATTATTATTACTATTATTATTATTATTATGATTATTATGATTACTATTATTATTTGATCCACTAAATCACCGTCATTGGTTAAAATTTTATATATATAAGTCTATGTAAATTAGAGTAAAGCCTGAAGAAGATCTAATTGAAAACAATATTGTTCGCTTATATGTCTTGTTCTAATATTATAAATGGGAATATTTAACGATATCTGAAATATTTCTGAATTGTTTCAATACTATCATTATCTATCCTGTGGTCTAATTCTATAACGCCTAGACCTATTACCGACGATTTTTCTAGACCCATGGGATCTCTTGTTAGTCGAGGATAGGCTCTACATTGTTCGTTTTCTCCTGATCTTGATTTCTCTTGACGTTTGTCTGATAGAAACTGCATCACATTCAAAGCATTTTATTTTATAGACACGGTTATACTGTGAACCCTTCCGAACTCGGTCTTTCACATGAGCATGAAAGACTACTTTTTAGCGTGTCAGATGTGCTGAAGAAAACACCTTTCTGGCTTCGTCTAATGCGTTTGATCTACATGGAATAAAATATTTTATAGTCATAGTTTTCGAGAGTATTGTTGAGAGTACCTTCCGGCAATGTGTTATTTTGGAGTTTATCTTATGAATGTAAGTCTTTCGATGGCAATTTTGTGAACAAATACTGCAATATTTGATAGTTATTCTTCTTCCTTTCCATCTGTCACCATAGAGTGTGCTGTTTTTTAGAAGACTCAAGAAAGCTGATACCGTTACGCTGCCGAGGTGTGAGATTTTGAATTTAAAATATTTATTAGAGTGCTTTTTCCTGAATGTAAACATATTAAGATAACCATTTTTGAGCCTAACTAGTTGACCTAGGAAAGGCATCTCACAAATATCTGACCCTGATTCCGAAGTTAACTGAATGCTGGGGGATAAATTGTTCAACTCCCCCAGGAATGAATGGTATATGTCTCAGTTTAGTACTACGAAGGCATCAGCAACTTATCTGACCTATTTATTGGAGGATATAAATTCTTTTTTTTGATAATGAAAGTCATATACCCAATATACATTTTTTTCAAAACACTGTATTTCAACTTCCTTTGAACATATACAGCTCTTATTTGCAAATGCTTTCTTCTATTGAAGTATTTTCATTCCTTCTCACGCTGTATGTTGTTCTTTATTGACATTGTTTCCATCTGCAAATATTTTCTACAAATCATTCGCCCTAACTTCATTCAGGAGTTCGGCGTAGTATATATTTTAATTAGTCTGAGTAATTCAATCTTAGCCCTTCTATATTTTTCAAACAACTTAATGCTAAAATCAATTCAGATGTTAATCAGCTAATGAGCATTATTTTCCTTCACGTTCTCCAGTGGAACATAGGGCCTCAAGCTAGTGGCTTGAAGTTTCTGTAGCAGTGTTTAATTTTACAGGATGGGTTGCTAGCCTCATGGCTAACCTTCCCTCTTTACCAGCATTATTTCTGGCTCAGCGAAGTAAAGGAGTTCGTCGGCCGGGGATCGAACTCCCAAGATCATATGCATTGTCGGCAAGCGTCCCAACCGCTATACCACCGACGCACGTAATGAGCTTCAGTTTTGTAAATATTCCTCTGCTTTCCTAGCAGAATTCGGTTAGTTGTAGCATCATAGAAGATTGTCTTTGCTTATATTTTCACTGTCGTATTTTTATTCTGATAGTATATATATATATATATATATATATATCAAAGTGACTTTGAAACTGTCTTTGCCTTTTCCGCATTACTGCCACACTGAAACTCTATTAAGGTGTGCAGACAGTAGCTGAATCAATTCTTTTTAAATTATTACCTTTACACAAACAGAACAAATTTATATTTTAAAAAATAATAATTTTAAGGCTTTTCAATAAAATCCCTTGTGAATTGGACAGTGTAGTGTGTGATGACCAAGGAGGACGTCACACTAAGTTCCGAACCATTAGCCACCAAATCACTAGTTCGGCACTCTGTTAACTGGTTAATAAGATCAATTGAATGCAATTGCAACGGTTTGTTGTCAAATGTCATACCAGTAAATCGAAGCAGCCAGCTTACCAGGCCTGTCGTACATATATAATTCTAGAACAGATATAAATTACACTTACTGATCTAATTATCGTATACAAGAATAAGTCTCTTCACAATAATTTTTGAAAATTTAACAAATGCATTTGTTTTGTCGTAATTATAAACAAAATGTGTATCAGCTGATACATTTTCTACTCCCATTTTCATAAAATCGAAGCATGAAAACCGGCACTTCGTATCTGTGACTGATTTTCACACGTGTAAAATTACGAATTCCCTTTAGTTCTGCTCTTTGATACCATAATTATTGATTCTTAAAAATGACACATATTCAAAAATTTACACCACATGCCTCCAAATCCACTGCCGGCTGCGAAACTAAAACTTGCCAAACCATCGTATATGGTGAACAGTAACCACCTCTTCCGTTTGAGTCTAGCCAGCTCACCAGGACGTAAATTTCTTAAATCTTCTGTGGAATATCCAGGAAGCTTAGTTATATCGGCTAGACATGCAGCTACTTGAGCAATAATAGAAATTAAACCACCACCAAATACACCTTCAAACAAACCCGGGAATATAACCAGCCAGGGATTCAGTTGCAAGAGGACTATTAGACCTGTAAAAAAAAAATTAAGTAGTAAAATGAAATACTTTCTTTATGGCATTTAAAAACACCATATAAAAACATTTTGAGGCTAGTATAAACATCAATAAACTCAACAACAACATACATCAATATGTACCCAAAGAATGCGTTTTCTGCAGAGATTTATAATAACTACATTAAACGATGTGTTCATCAGACAGTAATAAGCTTGTAAATATTAAATATTATATGTTCAATATAAGTAGTGGGGCAAACTAATCAAAGTAAATGAAAAAGACTCACCAGTGAAACCAATGTGTAATGCTTCACCGAAAACCATGAGATTTAAAGCAACTTTGCGCCCAAATTTGTCAGATATATATCCAATAATCATAACTGTTATCATTCCAAAACTCATACGCACAAAATTACTCACAGATTCTATCCACGATATTTTCTGATGGGCTTCTTGCATTTTGTGAAAGTCTTCGTAGCTTCTAAACATTAGTTTTTATAAGAAGTTAATTCTCATTAATATAATGGAGGATATATATATATATATATCTAATATTTTACACCAACACATAACATAAAGAATCAACTTACATCAGGTTCTAAACTATCAATGTTGATTCTGTTGAGATTGGATTCACAATTTGTCCGAGCACCACACTTCGTGGGTCCCATTGCCCACTAATAACTAACTCCAGCAGTAAAACCTTGATGACAGATCTTGGGTGGTGGTGTGTGTAAAGTGAATGTGAGGAGAGATACTTGCCAGCGATGTTAGCTGTCGATAGTACCATAAAACTAATTAATAAAAAATTGAATTCATAGCTCATGGAATCCCAGCCAAGTAAATAATTGGTATCGTTTCCCCTTCGATCCCCTGTGATGTCATGTGCTAGTAATACTGAAGAGTTGGAGAATGCGATTGAACAGTTTTCCAGTGCACATTGTTTCTCTAGAAAACTCTGATTAGTGAGAAAATCTGCCATGATATATAAACTAGGTAAAGGTGTATTGATATGCCCACGAAGAATCTATTCAGTGTAACCTAAAACTTTTCCCATTATTTATGGGCTAAAGTGCTCCTATGCAACTTATTCCCAGTGTCGAACTATTGCGTGTCGCTTTTTATTCCCACCGGCTTAATTGTATCAAAAGCGAATAAATGTTTCATCAAACCTCACTATCACTTAAAACATTCATAAGTAAGAGGGTCAAAGACAGGAAACTGAAAAATATTTTCTAAGCTTTTTTACGAGAGAATATACAGGAATAATTTCCAGTATTTAACAATAATGACGTCAGAATATTTCACTTAAAAGAATAAGTTTCTTAAAGAGATAAAACGTTGCTCTGCGGCTTCAGATATTTATATCTATTTTTAAACTCGGATACTTTTTTTGAATTCATTTCATGAAATATCTCAGTTCACATTGTCAGTCAAATTCTTGTATGAGGTCAGAATTTTAAATTCACTTCTCCGTATAAATCCAGTAAGCCTTTTTGTTTTCAAGTATCCTGATTGTTGCAAGCTATTCGGCAAATAACAATAGTAAGTAATACGGTGAATAGCAAATAATCCCGCCTGATCTGAAGTGTAATATGTAGTTTCATATAACTCAATTTCTTTTCGTACACCTGAAAGGTACGAATAAGGGTATGTGTGATATTTAAAATTTATTTCTCTGTTTATATGTTGCTGTTTAACACTTAAGATGGTAGTGAACCATAAGTTGCCTAAATGTGCTGCAAAATATGAGGGAAAATGAAAATATTTTATTTTGGATTTCTTAACTGCACTAAAGGGTAGCTGTTTAATTGAAATGCTTAATGTTTAATTAAAATCTTAATGCTATCTATAACCAAACACTTTTATCATGCAAATCTCCTATCAGCATGTGGAAATTTTTCAATGAAATTACTGGCAATAGTAAGCGATGTAATGTTTTTCCCTCTTGTGATGTTAATGCTCTTAATCTGTCTTTTATACGCTCTCCTTCTACTATAACCACTTCTAACGTTACTAATCTTGTAGCTGATAACTTCCAGGACTTTAATACTCTCGATGTTTTGAAATGTCTTAAAACTCTTAAGCCCTCACATAGTCTTGGCCCTGATGGCATACCTGCATATGTTCTAAAACAATGTGCAGATGCTTTATGTTCTCCTCTAACTAATATCCTAAATGCTTCTTTCTCCGAAAACGTTGTACCTGTTCCATGGAAAGACATTAAAATAGTCCCTGTCCCTAAACCTGGAAATAGCAAGAACGTAAAGTTCAGACCCATTGCCATCACTTCCCCGTTTCTAAAGCTCATGGAAAAACTAGTACTTCTTAAACTCGAACCCTCCCTTAAAAGCTTCGAAGACCCCAAACAATTTGCCTACAGACAGGGTAGGAGTACTTTAGACGCTGCAGCCGTCTTACACAACAGTATTGTCTCATCATTAGACAAAGGTGCCAAATATGTCCGCTGCACGTTTCTTGACTTCACTTCTGCTTTCGACTCTGTACCTAGATGTCTCTTGCTAAATAAGCTCTCCATGACACAAACCGAGTCCTGGGTCACTAACTGGTTGCATTCCTACTTTTCAAACAGAATGCAGTACACCGTATACAAAGGCGAATCCTCCTCTGCTGTGCTCACTGAAGCTGGTGTCCCCCAAGGTGCTGTACTCTCCCCACTTCTCTTTTATTCTTTCTACATGACCTACCATCTTCAAATGACATTAACTTTGTCAAATATGCTGATGACCTAACTGTATCTTTACCTGTCAAATGTCAAAGTGACTGCTCTAAACTAAATGGCTTCTTATCGGAAATTAGCCAATGGTCCAAGGAAAACGGTCTAACCTTAAACCCCTCCAAATGCCAAACAGTTAATTTCACCTTTAGGCACAAATCTGACCTAAACAAACTGGTTAGCACTCACGAGGTGTGCAACATAGATGGCACTGAAAGAAACCAAGTCGGAAATTAAATACCTAGGCGTCACTCTATCTTCTGATCTTTCCTGGTCGTCTCATATCTTGACGATTTCCAAGAAAATATACCGTCTTACCTTCTACATCAAGAAGTTAAGACATTCTGGTGTAACCCAACCCTTACTCCTACAATTTGTTAACTCCCGTATTCTGCCTATTATTCTCTATTGTTCCCCCTTAGTCTTTCCTGGGCTATTGAAGAAAGACTATACCTTATTACGTAGGATGTTAAAGGTTGTCAGCAGGGTAAGCAGTTTGCCACTTAGCCAGCTTGTTAATATTCTGGTGGACAGGCACATGGACTCATGTGAAAAATGGGCGAAATCCATTTTATCTGACTCACAACACCCTCTACATTCACAACTCTCCCCATGTATCTCTTCAGGGAAAACCAGAAGCCTATATAGGAAACTATATGCCCGCACTAGTAAGTACAAAAACTCATCCATACCCTACCTAGCTCGTGTTCTGTGCGATAAAGAAAGCATTAGGCGTGAAACCTTTAACTTATTAAATAGTCAGTAGAACAAATGGATCTCGTCTTTCCAACTCACATCATTTACAGGTACAACGTTTTCTCTCTACCTTTTTTCTCTTTCTGTATTTATTTTTGTTATGTGCTGTTTTGTTTCTCTCTTCCTTGCAAACTCTACTTAAAACATTCTTGTTCGTTCTTTCACACTCTGTATATCTCGACCATTTTGCTATCGCTTACGCTAGTAAATATGCTAGTAGTATCTACTTTTCTAACACCTTCAAACATTAATTTTGGCTTTGCTACCGACATGCTAATATGTTGATAACTTTAATCTATGTAGAACTTTATTTATTGTTAAGTAACTGGATGCAATATTGTAGTAAAATGCTGAGAATTCCATTCTGTATCACAAGTACTGATTTGGAATAAAGCTATTATCTTATTTCTAACCTTCCAATTATCACACTTAGTTTCCATCTGTACTCGTGCACAATGTCAAACAACTTTCTATCTACTGTTAGGAATTTTTCTGAGGAAATCGAAGAAGAACACTGTAGGGCAACATTGAAGCATAATTTTGATCGAACAATACTGCTTCAGATGATAACATTATCGGTTATTATATTGTTTGAAAATTTTACACAAGAAGTGAATACCTTGCAATGGAACTCACTGGGAATTCTATATTGTGTGAAAACACATTTTTCAAAATAAGACTACTATTATTATGATAAAAATACAGCAGTTCAGCCAGATCTACACGATTAGTCCTGTTAAGTGACCTAGAAAAAGGCTCCGTCACCGCTCCGCGTTCACTTGTGTGTATTGACATAATACGTTCGGATAGGGTAGAAGTATTTAACATTAACATAATCAGTTAGGAGGATAATTCAGTAACGCATTCTTTGTTGACCGAACCGACACCACATACATGCGGTCAAAATGATGCAACACCTCCCAGATTTATGGAATACTATAGGGAAGAGCAGTATTGAGTAAGGCTATGTAAAACAAGTTGAGAAGTCATTTGAACAAAATGATATGGTTGTGAGCAATAAATTGTGCTCGAAACATTTTCCGGTTATTAAAACCGTATCACGCTGTCAAAACAAATAAACTTATCTGGTGTGAATACTCATATCTAATTATTCCTATGATTGCTTCTACCATCCACAGGAGTAGATGTTTCGGTGAGATTAGCAGTAATATTCGTCACTGGAGTATGTAATCATTATTTCATCTTCATGAATTTATTCCCCTTGATGAATTTGAATATAGCAAGAACAATAGTGGTTTGTGGAAAATAATATGGTACCATAATTTATTTCGCTGGCTTCTCATCAGCTGCTTACAGCCTAAATAAATTTTCAGGTTTAAGTACAGAAACGTTTTAACATACTAGGAAATTTTACATGTTGTCAGTTGACAGAAAGTTCCACAACTGGTGAGCAGTGCTCAGAGAATTGCGCTTATATAGTTTTTACACAGGCAGTTCGAGTTTAGACAAAAAAATAAATGTATGCATATAATGGTAAAGGAGACTCGTATTAAAGATGAGATGTGCGTTAGACGCATAGTGACTAATAAGTTAGGTATCAGTGTACTAAGTTGTACTGATTATGTAATCTTTGCATTTAACCTCACCCTCCTTTTATAATCTGTAAGTTTGCTTGTCTCTTCTTTCTATGATTTGAGTTCAACTTAGTACACTGATACCTAACTTATTAGTCACTATGCGTCTAACGCACATCTCATCTTTAATACGAGTCTCCTTTACCATTATATGCATACATTTATTTTTTTGTCTAAACCCGAACTGCCTGTGTAAAAACTATATAAGCGCAATTTTCTGAGCACTGTTCACTTATTGTGGAACTTTCTGTCAACTGACAACATGTAAAATTTGCAAGTATGTTAAAACGTTTCTGTACTTAAACCTGAAAATTTATTTAGGCTGTAAGCAGCTGATGAGAAACCAGCGAAATAAATTATGGTACCATATTATTTTCCACAAACCACTATTGTTCTTGCTTTATTCAAATTATTTCATCTGACTGACCAAAAGCATATTAAGTAATCCAATCAATTCCAATATCATTTTATGTCAACATGTAGGCGTACTCTGACCATATATGAATATATCTTTGGTTAATGTATTTTCCACTGTTTGGACCAATTTTTGAACGAGGCAGTATGAGTAATTGTTTGAATATCACTGAGATGCTGATAAATAAAGCTTCCTGTGTATAAGTCACCGTTTCAATGAACGCTCAAATAGTGATACATGTTATCGCTACTGTACAGCTGCTTATCGGATGTTCTGCGGTATGACGCAGTGATTATAAAGTCCTACATTACCTTTCCAAGTGTAATAAGTAGACAGTAGCAAAGAAAGTATTGATTCAAAAACTGTATGACATCGTTTCAAATGAAGTCATTCTCAATTAAATTAAAAGGGTTTGAAAACAATGTTGCTATTCTGATGCCGTTTTTTGAGTTAACATGATAAGAAAAGATTATAGTTAGTTTTCACGTCTTACATCGTATCATTGTCATCCTCAAACAATTGCCCGTAAGAAAAGCCTTTTTCTTCAAAGCATCTGCAGATAAGAAAACACATAAACACATAATCTTAGAATAATAATGTCAGGGAAAAGATAACTTAAGTGCAGAGTATCAGTTAACTAAATAAATCGTGGGATTTATTCTGAAAATGCATCAAAAAGTAAAAGAGTAATAATTAATTTGTGCAATTGATGGTGTTCTCTGAGCTCCTTGGTTCAATTGCGGAGCTTTCATTGTCTTTCTGGACGACATCTTCAGCGCACTATTTAGGATAAAGTGAAATGATTTAAATTTCTTCATGAGTCTCCCGGTAACCATCTTTAATGACATTAATAAACACGTTAGATGAAATATACCAACTAATAAGAAGTAAATCAGGTGATCAGAAAGTTTAAAATCCCAATCAATAGAAAACGGTCAATAAATATCTAAAGATGGTTACCGGGAGACTCATGAAGAAATTTAAATCATTTCACTTTATCCTAAATAGTGCGCTGAAGATGTCGTCCAGAAAGACGATGAAAGCTCCGCAATTAAACCAAGGAGCTCAGAGAACACTATCAATTGCAAATCATCCACCTGAGTTACAAATCTTTTCTATTATTTCAAAATTAATTTGTGCGTCGGTGGCACAGTAGTTAGGACTCTCGCCGACCATGCACATGATCCGAGGTTCGATCCCCTGCCGACGAACACCTGATATCTATGGTCAGCCTGCAAAATTCGGGTTACCGATATCACATGCTAAAAATTCCACACGAGTACCAAAAATACAGTGTGGAATCAATCTGTAATCAAAAATAAAAAAAATAAAATAAAAAGTTTACTGAATGAAAGTGAATAAATGACAGTGCTTAGAGCAGGTGCAGGGTTTAATATCAGTTAAGTAAAACCCCTGTGGTGATATCATTTATAAGGCATTCATCCGTAAAATAAGTTTTCCAGTCGATAGCTTTCTCTTGATGCCACACTTATATGCCGATTGTCTAATATATCTTTTGCCAAGTTTTTATTTAATAGACTACTGAAAGCAAGACTAACTGATATACCCTAGAGTTAGAAGACTGTAAGTGATGCAATGTATGATGACCCAAGGTAAAATAAAAGTCTAGGTCACTCAGGATTTGAACCACCCACCTCCAAATCGCTAGTGTAGTGCGGTACCAGATGAGCTGATAGAGACAATCCATGATGATTGCAATGGGATGATGAATTGCTTAACGTAAACGTGTCATAGCTCAGCTTACAGACTATTCTATACAAAGTAAATTCAAAGTGGCAAGTTAAGTGACAGTGTAGAAGCCTGTGAATACTACAGCGCTGTTTATATACGAATAGGTTTTCGATGTAAACTGTTCATAGATACACTGGTAAAGTAATTAATGAATTTTCAATCAGTCAATGTAAAAAATCCATGTAGGTTTTTGCCCAGAAAACTCATTATTGAGATTTTAATTTACATATATTATAACTTCAGTAACGTGCATTTTTCCTGCCCAAATCTTTTAACAGTGCAGACAGTGTCCTATATATTGGTAATCTCTCGGAAGAGGTATGGATGATTGTATTAAAAAATTTCAACTCATAATCTGGTATATTAAGTGGCTGACTATTTCAGAAAATAAACCGTGATGAAACTTATTCTGTGTCTTGCTCAAAATAGATTCGCATCACAGTGAGCCGAAGCGAATTTGAAACATTTGCAAAACTAAGTGCTTTTCTTCTCAAATGTTTTCTCATATATCTCCCGGTATGAAGCATTTCAACTTTATGACCGGGCTTACATTTTTGTGTTAGCGCCAAGAAATACCAATATCGCCACAAGCCCGCCAAATTCACGTTTCAAGTAAGACGTTGAAACAGACAAATCCACCAGTCTATTAATATTCTCTTTAATATTCTGCAGCCGTATAACAGATGCTTTCAATATCTCATTCTAAGAAAGTGACAAAAGAATGACAAAACCATATGTTTATAGCAATAGAAGGTGTAGACGTGTATCACAAAATGGATAAGACTGCATTTTGCCATTTAAGCTTCAGCGAAATAAAATTAATTAGAATTTTCACCATGTTTCATGGATTTTAAACTTGAACTTTCATTGAGTACTAACAGACATACTAAATCATTACTTTTTTAATTGCTAGTTTAATTTACAAGAATCAAATTGTCATGTTCTTCATCACTTCAACATATTCCCATTAACGTTTCTTACATGAAATACACTAATCAATGGGTTACATTTTTCAGCATCACATGAATAAAGTCATGTGAATTTGTTAATCTGTCTCGATTTTCACTGTAATAATTGTAAGTCGTCTCTACTACTAAGATTCATATAATAATGCTTGCAAGTAAGCATGGTGAGAAATGCAGCTATTCTGATCCCCATACCATCCAATCACGGTAGTGGGTTTCTCATCTAAACTACGAAAAAGCCAACTTGCTTTCACCCCACCCCAGCCAGCGAAGTTAAACACAAAAATCATTTTAAAAAAACAATTACTATTATTTCGAAGTGTATAAAATCGGAAAATTGACTGTGTTCCTGGTTCAGCACACCCTATACACTAAATAATCAGTCACAGTAGAACGACTTTCGTTTCTTCTCAGATCGTTATTTTTTCCGAATATGTAAAAAATTACCACAAACGTGTATCACGATTTTCTTAACTACATTAAAGAGTTTACTGACAATGGTTTACTTTCATTTTTTTTTATAAAATGCATACTTTGAATCCCATGTAAGCATTATTTGACTTAGTAAGTCTGTCGAAGAAAAGATTATATGTTAATGCTGCAGTTAATTAACTGAAATCTGAGAAAGTTATTCCTTAGATAGAAATGCTGATAAGTTCAGCTGATATGATAACTGCAGAAGATAAATAAGGATAGTGTTTGCTACGACTAAAAAGACAGAATAAAGAAAACAACATTTCAACAAAACCAGCAATAAAATCTTGCACGAACTTTGAGAATAATAAGGATGAGGAGATCTCAAAATCAGATAACGGTTATTCAGTAGCTCTATTACACAAATATAACTATTTTGAAAAGGTTAATGAAGGCATGTAAACAAGAGTGTGAAGAAATTACGTCACCAGTGGATAAAATATATATATATATATCTTACCTGTATAATACATATTGTTCAGAAACGAAAAGACAAATTTCCACAGCGGTCGATAGTATTGTTGAAATTAGAGCAAGGGTGACAAGCACTCTTACATTTTGGTTCGCTAGTCTATTATTCATGATTTGCAGATATAATTAAGTGAAGAAAACAAATAACTGCAGTTACCTTTGCATCATAAATACTTTTATTCTGTTATCATGGTCCAATCAGGTAAAATTAAATAATTAATTCAAGTTAATTATAATTTGCTGTTCGGTGCCAAAAGCTTGAGCTGGATAAATTTATCCAATAAGTAACGTTTAATTTATAATAAAAATGACTTAGCATTTAATACGCGGCAATTTAAAAATAACGGAATAATTTGATAGCTTAATTCGCACATGAATCGTTTTGACGAAAAAAAGTTATTTATAACTTATTTTGAGGCCGGCAGGCCAGAAGAAGAACTAATTGTTTCAAAGGAATCAGTTATCACAGCTTCAGCTAGCAGACGACTCATTATCACCATCATTATAAAAATAGAAAGCTGTTACAGTGAATATTAATTTTTACTGATTTTTAACGTATTTCTCCCCTTATTATCTTCTTCAACCACAGATACTACTTGTACGTCTTCTTGTGACTAGCTAGACACCCCTTTTTGGGTTCACACCAATATCGTTTCTGTGTATCGTTTGTGATATCCTCTGAGTAAAAGACGAATAAAGTTGCAAATAATCGAAATAGACACCCTGATCTGTTGAGAAAGAAGCAGAATGCGAATACTTTGCGTAGATCAGTGTTCCAGTGAGTGTTTTATTTATTTTACAATTACTGTGTATAAACTACAAATCACGCATATGAAACCTATGACATCTCAGTTATATTTGTCTCTCAAGAAGTCTGTACCTTGAGTTAGATAGCTTATACTACAAAGACGTGAACGAATTCACTCACTAATGTATCCATAACGAGGTAGAACTCATTTGGTTTAATCAATCAGACACTTAAGTGTTAGGCAGAGGGATAACGACTACAGTTTTAAATTACGCACGAATCCTCCTTCATAAATTTGAAGAGAGATAGAACAAAAATTGTTGCGGAATAACATGGATCCAATTTTTTCGTAAGATGCCATCAGCTACGTACATTGTATAATCCTTAACAAAGTAAGTCAGTGTACAATGTTAACGTACTTTTGTTGATGTTCAAGTCACACTTCTAACGAACTCACTCAGTAAGAAAAACATCCAAATTCAAAGCACAACAAGAAGTAAAGGAGTCAACTTATTCTTCGCTTCAACGAGGAATAGGGAAAGATACCGATGGCTGAAAGACGTCAGGAATCCAATCCCCGGATAAGTTGTATTCCCATGCAATCAAAAGTTAACATGCTGGCAGAAAATGTTCTCACCATGTGTAGAAAAGCACCCGAATAACAAGAGAAATGAGAAATAGGTTACGAATTGCTAGGGCTGTGTTAGCGCCTTTGGAATTGAAGTGGACGCACCAGATTGTTGACTACATAGCCAGTAATCTGAACTACTCATTCAGACGAAAAACACTAACATATTGACAGTGTAGCTATCATGAAATCACCACCGGAATCGAAAGCCATTGTACAGGGGAAACCACTCTCCTCGAGTATCATGACAGTAACATTCAACTCGAAAGCAAAGGAAGTTACAATCAAGCAATGCTAAGCACAGTTCTACAGACAAGGCAGACCAAGATAAAAGGAATACTCAAGTAAAGAAGTGAAGTCAGTAATGAACAAGACACTAGACAGATGAAAGCATCAAAATTCTGGTGATTGATGTAATTACCAACCAATCTGCGAGTAGACAATACAGGAAGAAAACCTGTCACGGGTTTAGAGGCGATCAATGAAATCAGTGAGAGCAGAGAACCCTTCGCAGACCTCTACTCTTTTAATGATTTAATGAATGGAAGTAGACTGCACAAGCACATCCAAAAACCGACGTTGGTTTCATCAAACAGACATATCAACCACCAGATAGACTTCATCTCAGTTTCAAGAATGTGGAGAGGCGCTAGTCGAGACAAGATAAAGTAGACAGTTGGATGTAGGCTTAGGTAACTGTTTAATGCAAGGCAACTAGAAGACAAAGTTAAACCCGTCCAAAAAGATGGATACACACCACAATTCAAGTGCGAAAATTCAGAAACTGAAGGACGAAAATACAGAACATAACTTCATTGCAGTCACCAGGAAAAGTTGGAGATGCTGTGCAACAACAACGAGAAAACCTGCATGACTGAACACCAGGAATCCCTGAAATCATTATAAAAGGAAACGTATGTAAAAACCTTTGGAATGACGAAGAGGCAAAACAAGAACTGGTTCCTTACGTGGAGGTTGATATTGCAGAGGAAGAGAATGATACATACGATGAAATAGTGCAGAAATAAATATTGAAAGCAGAGCGGTGAACAAGCTACAACGCACTGCACAAATAGGCAAAGAATATTGCTAGGAAAGGCAGAAAACGCATCGACGATGCACCGACAAGTGCAGCGGGACAGGCTGCAGGTAAGAGATTTCACATCATTGTGTAAAATAACCAGGTCGCTAACCAGCAAGAGGTCAACGAATATAAGTCCAGTAACGGTGAAGGAAACCCAATAACTAAGGAGGTGAAGCAAAGGAAGCGCTGAACTGACCACTTGGAAGGACTCTTGAAATGATCACCACCTGCAGCTCATTCAGAAATACCACCAGTTGACACTGAAGTACTAGTGAACACCAACGCCCCAACAAGACCAGAAATATGTAAAGCCAAAAAATTATTCGGTTGCAAATATTATGTCAAAAGTAACAGAAAAACATGTCTCCTGTACCATATAGTGGACAGGAAATAATGTTTCAATAACATGGGAGTAAAAGCAACAACATTATGTACTCTATGCATAATGAAATAATCTCAGCGCGTCAGTAGAACATGGGCATAAGATAGGATCCTAGCAGTTTGAACCTCATGTGCTGCACAAGAATTAGTTCGACTGTGATTGAAGATGTCACTATAATTGCTGTAAAATGTTAGTAGAATGCAAATCATCCAGACTTTTTAGTCTTCGATAGAGTGAATTGTTGTCTCTCAAGAGAAAATGTATTAGTACTTTTCTAAAACAATATTATTTTTGACCAGCCTTTTTTGACTTTGAAATTTACACTGTTGGTGGGAAATACCACCACAATCTCCTTGAGAAACTGATCACAATTTACAATCTGCCTAATAATATTAATTACTGAACTGAGTCATACCGGGCATAGCGTTGATTTGGTCGACTCTTGATGAGTGACACGACCATCCGGTGTGTAGATTCCTTAGATTCGGCCAGCAAACACTACTGGTTGATTTCGGTGGAATACAACTACTCATGTCAATCAATCAGTCGTACATGATATAATTATTTTCCTTTTTTTAGTTGTCAGTATCTGTAAACTGCTAGTTACCACTAAAAGTCTTTTGATCCCAAAAAGCTTTCATACCTGAAAGGAAACAACTGCAGCTGTATAGACTTTACCACGAAAAGAAAGCTTTTGACTCAGTTCAGTATCGAAAAACATTCTCAGTGATCGATCCACGAGTTACAAGAAAAGAAAACTATACTGTGCTGAAATGAGTTTGACATTACCTTTTTTCTTTCCTTCAAGTTCCCTAGTGGAACATTGGGCCTCAAGCTAGTGGCTTGAAGTTTCTGTAGCAGTGTTTAATTTTACGGGATGGGGTTGCTAGCCTTATGGCCAACCTTCCCTCTTTACCAGCATTATTTCTGGCTTGGTGAGGTAAAGGAGTGTGTCGGCCAGTGATCGAACCCCAGACCATGTGCATGGTCGGCAAGCGTCCTAACCGCTATGCCACCGACATTGCCTTAATGTATCATTATCCCCTATATTTGAATATACTTTTAAACAGCTGTTAATTGAATGTTTGTATATCGGGCGTACATTAAATACGCAAGGGTGATTAATGCGAAGATTATCTGTCAGTGATAGACAGATATTTGCTACATAGACTGAAGACGAAACGTCATGCGCTACTTCAAGATTCTATTGGTGAATACTGAAGGATCTTCAAAAAATATCATCTCAATTTTTCAGTAACATTTCAAAAGACTTATGTGCTATAAAGTAACCAAAATCTTTTTGGGAGATCAGGTTAGTGTGTTGATTAAATTCTCCTTTGTGGTATTTCATATACATATGGTGAATGAATTCTTGTATCAGTTAATGTCCAATAATAAAGGGTGAAGCAGGGGAGCAACGATGACGCATTATTATCTTCGTATTCCTATTAAGAAAACAGTCTTCAATTTAACCATCTAGTCTTAATCTCAATAATTTAAAAATTCACATTTACACATTTAGAAAAGCAACAAACTTAGCGCATAAAAACATTCTTATTCAACTAGTTCCTCATCATCGGCTCTACACAGATACGTGGTGTTTTACATCACAATCGTAATAATCTTTTCGTTATTTCACTCCATAATAACTATTTTATTTTTATTTTTGATTACAGATTGATTCCACACTGTATTTTTGGTACAAGTATGGAATTTTCAGCATGGATATCGGTAGCCCGGATTTTGCAGGCCGACCATAGATATCAGGTGTTCGTCGGCAGGGATCGAACCTCGGACCATGTGCATGGTCGGCGAGAGTCCTAACTACTGTGCCACCGACGCACATTCAATTTAGGAGGGGTTGAAAGAAAGAGATTAAGGTCATCAAACCAGTTAACTGGTGGAGATTGAAGTCGAGACATCAGAGTTTTGAGGGGGGAGTGTAAATGATTACGTATTCAAGGTCAACTAATTCGTAAGGGGTAAGTAACAAGTTATTACATAACCAGAAAATTTCTAAAACATGGATGACTAAGAAGAACAGAATGACTCAACAGAATCACATAAGATACATACAAGTTAATCGATTAACCAGAGTTGCAATCATAATAGAAAAAGGGGAAAGATAGTTAAAAGGAGAGAACAAAATCATGTATAGCACTCAATGTATATAATGTAGTTGGTCATGGCAATGAGTGGAGCCACACAAATTTATTTCGAGCACACCAAATCAGCTCTTTCAAGTGGTTTACGATTTCTTTTGCTGTGT